ATAGGCAAAGATTCTCCCTTCTGCTGAGTTCCAGTTAGTAAGTAGTCAAATTCACTTCCCTGAGCCCCACAGTCCTTCCTCACATGCATTTCTGGACATGAATAAGACCCTCTGCCTTCAGCAGAAGATGAGCATGTTATGGGAAATCAGCATGAAGGAATCCAGTTCTTCTGTCTGTGCTGGTTCTGTACACTTTTTCTACAAGCTGAGTCTCAGAATAAAACTTATTCACTAGTCATAAAACTCAAAAACAGTTAGTTCTGAGTTAAAAAAAAAAGGTTTGTTTTCAAATGAGTCATAAAAAAAACCTTTTCCTGTGTTAGAAAGAAGCAATTTGTACTCATATTTATGTAGGAGAACTAGATATGTGTCCAGAGAATTAACCCCAGATGTCCATATGTTCACACTAGCCTGTTACATTCCAACTTAAAGTATTTATAAGCACGTCTTGCAGGCAGGTGCAGTTGAGGTAAGTGGAAGCAGAGCGGTTCATGAAAACAGAAGTGAAATATCAATAGCATTTCAAGGGTTTACCCTGAAGGTTGTAAATGCATGTGGGAGAAATATATTAAGTGCTATTAGGTCTGTATACCTATGGGTATAGAAGAGATGTTACCCTTTTGTGCATCTAAAACCAAGCAGAGGCTTGTGTTTATTAAATGGTTTTCAGCTACTTTCTGATGATAAAGCTGCATATTCTGCAGGTAAAAGATGAATTCATAGAGGCATCACATAATCAGAATCTGCTTTGTATTCCTACCTCAAATATGCTTGAATTACTTTTTTTTTTCCACTTCAAAAAACCTTTTAGACAATACTTCATTTGAAACTAGGCTTCTTGAACTGAGAATTTTCAACCATTGTTTTCATTGACACTTTATTTCTGTGAGTGAAGTGTATTTCAAATTCCAAACGCCAGTGTCAGAAAAAATAGTTTTAGTTTCTGGGATTCTGATAGTGTCTTTTGTACTGTTGCTGTTACTAGTCAAAAAATTAAGAACACCACCACTGCTCAGGTCCTGTAAAGAACTTTCCATTTTAAAAAGCGATAGGAAATAATTAAAACCTAATTATTTAACTTTCCACGTAATTACTGTGTTGTACCTCGTTATTATCCTCATTTTACAACTAGGAAAAAAAACCAGTTAGGCCCAGGGCATGCTTTCCCATTTTCTTAAAAAGGAGCTGACCTCTGAAGCCAGTGCAGTTTGTGGGAACTAAGCAAATGAGAACCTTCACACCTGATGGCGTCACGGTGGCTTTCAGATCCTTCCCTTGCTGTGGGGCTGCACTTACTTGGCCACAGTTTCTTTAAAGAACTGAGATTGGCTGCAGAAAGCTGCACTGTCACGTTTGTGTGAAACAGAAGGAGACTTTCCCTTTGTCGCCTTCCTCTTTTTCCTTTAAGGCTAATAATTTCATGAGAGATCTATTTATTGTAAGTACTCTCTGTAAGGTTTGATATTATCTGTGAAGTTATGTTCTGTGCAAAAGCTTAGGTCCTACACTTGAGGAGGTCTGCTATGACTTCACAGATCTGAGTACGTGGTAGATGCTAGTCCTGAAGATGTTTGGGAGCGAGCACTGAAAGTGAGGAGAAGGCCAGCTACAGCTTGCAGCATCTGAAGATTTCTTACCATCTTTCTTCACTGTTATTAGGATCCACAGAAATGGAAATACTAAATAAAACTACTCACTTGTATAAACGTCTTTTGTCCTTCGCTTTACTAGATCCCTGATTTGCAGTTATAATTTCTGAGTTCCTGTGTAATGTATGTTAGGAAGCTCCAATCAGCCGGATATCCACACTGGGACTTGAAATGTCTCTGCGCTCAGTCTGCTGCAATGTGCATCAGCCATTCCCTTTCATGAGATAGTGTTCCATGGCCCTATCAAAAAGGATTTCAAAAGGCTTTGAAATCTGTAGCATTTTTTTCACAATCTGTGTCATAATTTGGATTTCTTTACTACGGTATGCTCTTTAAAGTCCCAACTTCTGATTCCTCCTTATGCTTCTACTACTAATGAAGCAACCTTAATTTAACAGAGCTACTTTCAATAATGTCCATATTGCATGGAAGTCTGACACAGAAACTTACTTTCATCGTCTTTCATATGAATAATTATGTGCCTTAAAGCTATTATGTGGTAGTAAAATTAACCGTCATAATTAATTCATCCCATGAAAGGACAGAATGACTCTGTCAATTATGTATTTAAAATAGTCTGAAAAGGGAGGGGGGAAGTTACTCTGTTGACATTGAGGTACGTATGTTAGAGGTAGGAGAGAGCTTCTCTCCCACCGGCAGTTACTTAAAAAAATAGTTTACAAGGTTAATTGTTTCAAAATCTAATAGATACTCATTAAAAATTACCAGAATTCGTATTTTGGGGGTTTGGTTTGTCGTTTGTGTCCTCATGTCTCCAATCATCTACAATATGCATTAAAAATAATTTGATTTTCTTTAAAACCCTATTTAATTTTCTGTAATGATAAAGAGGCCGCCAGCCTGTTTGCTAGTGCTGCTTATCAGACTGCCTTTTATTGTTTGAAAATGGCTCTGCTTTTTAGCCACTTTCTACTTCCCCATCTCCATATCCTACTCTGTCAGTGACCTCCTTTGTAAAGGCTAATGACCATCCCCCCAGTTTTGAAAAGTTGTATTTGTTTCTTTTGACTTCAGAAGTAGCTTTTTGTGCTCAGACTGCCAGGAGAAAAGGCCAGACTGTACTTCAGGTTGTATTCCCTCAAATGACAGAAACCCAGCTAGACACGATTTTTTTTTTTTAAACTTTTTTATTAATTTTCCAGATTGTCCACCTGTGAAGTCTTGACTCTTCAGTCTAGTATATGGTTGTCTTTAGGCAATTTAGCATCCTTGGGTAGAGGGATCTAGATGTAGAGAGTATTCAGAAGCATAATTGGTTTGTTCTGGCCCTCAATAGCAATGTATTAATAACAACTGTATAATGAATGTAAAGATATAAACCAGTTTCTTCTTTACAGAGTAGTAGTTAGAATACATGTAGATGTTCCGGTGATACTTTTTTGTGTCTGTATTTTTGACTCAAATTTACATAGTAGCAAGCTGAACAAAGACAAAATTATTCTGTAGATAGGAAACATCACGAGAAAAATGTCTCTTTAGCATTCTTGAGCATCCACCATCATTTGTAATGTAACTAGATTATACCATTTCTAGAATAGCAAACTAATTGTTTTATTAATTGTTGTGGTTTA